ATGACCTTAGGTTAGACAGTGGTTCCCTAGATATGACATCAAAAGTATAATGGACTAAAAAAAAAGACTGGGCTTCATAAAAAAATAAATAAATAAAACCTTTGTGCATCAAATGACACCATCAAGAAGTAAAAAGGCAACCCACAGAATGGAAAAAATAATTTAAAATCATATACTGGTAAGGGCCTTAAACCCAAAATATGTAAAGAACTATTACAACTCAATAATAAAAAGACAAGTAACTCAATTAAATAATGGGCGAAGGACTTGAATACATATTTCTCTAAAGAGATACACAAATGTTCAACAAGCACATGAAGAAATGCTTAATATATTTAGTTATGGAGAAATGTAAGTCAGAATCATGATATCATTCCACACTGCCTAAAAGGGCCATAATTAAGAAATAAACAGACAATAACAAGTGTTGGTAAGGATGTGGAGAAGCTGGAATCTTCACACACTGCTGGTAGGAATATAAATGATAAAGCCACTTTGGAAAACAACTGGGCAGTTCCTCAAAATGCTAAAAATAGTCACCATGAGACCCAGGAATTCCACTCATAGGCAGATACCTAATGAAAATATATGTCCACACAACTTGTATTTCAATGTTCATAGCAGCATTATTCATAATAGTCCCCCAGTGGAAACAGACTAAATGTCCATCAACTGATAGCTAGATAAACAAAATATGGTGTATCTACATAGTGTTATTCAGGTGGGATTTCATTTGGCAATTAAAAAGGATAAAATACTGATACCTGCTACAACATGGATGAACCTTGAAAACATTATATACTGAGTAAGCAAGCCAGACACAAAATGCCACATATTGTATAATTCAATTTGTATGAAATGTCCAGAATAGGCAAACCCATAGAGACAGAAAATAGATTAGTGGCTGCCAGGGACAAGGATGGGAGGGGAGTGAGAAAAGAAAATGCCTCTGATAATGGGTGCAGGATTTCCTTTTGGAGTGTTGAAAATTGTTAAACTGCAACCTGCAGAGGGTGGAGTTCTCCCGCTTCTGAACTCTGTGCATTTCTATAACCCAAGAAAAGGGCAGCTTGCACATACCAGCTGTAGATTTTCAATTCCTGACTGAGAAAAAAAGCTAACATTGTTCCCCAAACAGGAAGAGATTTAAGGTGAAAGAGAATGCACTGAAATTGTAACAATGTTATTAATTCTGTTATTAACCACCAAACAGAGGCTTGCCATATGCCTGGAAAGTGTCTTGGTCTTTTGCAGAGGATGATTCAAAATTCATGGGACTCTGGTTTCCTGAGCTTTCAGTTCAGCTCAGTTCAGTTGCTCAGTTGTGTCCGACTCTTTGCGACCCCATGAATCCCAGCACGCCAGGCCTCCCTGTCCATCACCAACTCCCGGAGTTTACTCAAACCCATGTCCATCGAGTCGGTGATGCCATCCAGCCATCTCATCCTCTGTCCTCCCCCACTTCTCCTCCTGCCCCCAATCCCTCCCAGCATCAGGATCTTTTCCAATGAGTCAACTCTTCGCATGAGGTGGCCAAAGTACTGGAGTTTCAGCTTTAAGTGTACTCAGTTTCTAAATGACTACTTTGCAATAAGATTCAGCTGCTCAGGCTGAGATTCCAAGAAGATGAAAATACTTTCTAGATGTTGCTAGAGCTGGTGAACCCAGATCTCTGTAGCCAGCCTTATAGATGCTCGCTGCAGAATTATGTCTGTTCCTCCTAACACACACACACATATACACTTACTCACAGTCATCAAGGCCAGGCAAAGGACCTCCCTTCTTTCCCCAAGGACCCATTTCCAAGACTAGCTGCAGGCACAGGAAATAAAGTATGTTATTTCCCCTTAATTAACTTTTGGGATATGATTATAATAGTACATTGTCATTATAGTAAATTATAAAATGGTCATATCCAACGTTGAGTACTTGCCATACCAGGCACTGTGCTGAGAAATTCACTCCAATTGCTTCATTTCTTCTCCTAACAACCCAATGAGGCAGATAGTATAACTCCTGCTACCAATTTGCACAGGAAGAACCTTGGGCTCAGAATGGCTAACACCAGTTATTGTTAACAATGGTTATTTAAAGTCACCCAGTGGCAGCACTGGGGAACAAAAGTCTGTTTGGGTTTAACCCCTACACTAGATTATTCTTATACAAGATAGAATGTGTGAAATTCCTCACAGAACAACAAAAGAGGGACTCCTCTGGTGGTCCAGAGGTTGAGACTCCAGGCTTCCAAATCCCTGGTAGGGGAACTAGGATCTGCATTGTGAAGTCAAAAATAAATAAATAAAATAGGACAAAAGAAGTGCTTTGGGGATGAGATGAGGTCCAGTGTGTGGGCCATGTGAGAGAGGATGCTGCATATCCTGGGAAGAGTTGATAACCAAACTGTCCTGAATGGCACCCTCCCATTGGAGCCTACTAATCACCCAGCTAAGACTCGCATAAGCTTCCAGACCTCCCTCTCCCTCACTTTCCTATATCTACCGTCACCAAGTCCTCTAGGTTATCTGTCCCCTCTGTTGCCTTCCATTCTTCCATTCACTAATTCAGAAATGGATTGAGCCCTAACCATGTGCCAGGACCGTACCAGGCAGTAGGGGTGTGACAGTGAACAATCCAGAAGCAGCTCCTGGCCTCTTGAGTTCTGCTCCCACCTTTGTCCAGGCTCTTGTCCCACTCTCCAAGATTGTCAAAACAAATCCACCCATGCCTTTTGCTGTGGAAGTGCAGAGTCCTAACCACAGGACCACTAGGGAATTCCCACACAGTAGTTCTAATCACATCATTCAGAAACTTTTAGAGGTGGCCTACTTTCTCCAGTGTGGAGCCTTAGCCTGACAAAGATTTTTTGTAACCTGGATCATGTTACCTTAAAAGTGATGCTCCATTTAAACCAAATCATTCACCCTTTCCTTAAGGGTTGCATGAGTTTTCTCATCCCACTTAATAGCACAGAATGTTCACCAAAGCCCACTCTGCACTGGCTTTTATTTCTCAGTCCCCCTTCCAGAGCAGCTGAGGGCTGAGTGGCAGGCTCTAGCCAGCAGAATCCCCCGTTGATGAAGTCCCCCTGCCCCACCAAGCCTTGGAACCTCAGACATTGCATAGGCAATACACTAAGCTGCTGAGACGTTCTGAATCTATTACTGAATGCAAGTTTATGTGCCAGAAACACAGTGAGACCAAGTAATATCAAAACCAAAATGTTGCAGTTTGGAGCAGAGAAAGGTTTATTGCAGGGCCATGCAAGAAGACAGGTGGCTCTTGCCTTAAAAAACCCAAACTCCCTGAAACCTTTCAGTAAAGCCTTTTTCTAGGAAAGGTGATGGAGGGGTGTGGTGAGTTGTAAACTTCGTGGAGTCACATCCTTTGTTCTGGAGGTCAGGTCACGAGGCTCCTGTAAACCTCCACCAAATTCACCAAACAAACGTAGTAAAGCACAGAAAAGCCTGGCATGCTGCAGTCCACGGAGTCACAGAGTCGGACACGACTTAGCGACTGAACAAAAAATGTTATTCTCTGTTCTGAAAAGGAAGGGTGAGGTCCCAAGACTCAACTCTCTCCCTCTGATGCCCTGGCCCTGGCTAAGGCGGGGTGGGGAGGCAGGGGGGTAGGAGGGTAGGGTGTGTGTGTGTGTGTGGGGGGGTGTCTCTGCTGGTGCCCTTCACCCTGCCCAGGAGTGTTCCTCCAGCACCCAGTCTTGGTTCCTCCTGCCAGCACCCTCAGGGCCAGGTCCCCAGACCCTGCTCGGCCATCATCACTGGGTGACCCGAACCCAGCCAGCCCCCAGGCTTGTCATTTAACCTGGAGAGAACCATTTGTATGGGATCAACAGGAATACCCATTCCAGCAAATACTCTTCAGGTCAGTTCCCGGATCCTGACGATCGCCCTTGGTTGAAAAGAGCCCCACCCACAGAGGTGGACCTGAAGTAACCATGTGCAAGGTCCTTGAAACTTAACCCTCACCTCCGGCCACTTACTAGGGATGGACAACTGATTTATGCTGGATCGAGATTTGAAACCTGAAGGGAGAGACTGAAGCTGGCTGAAGCTGGTACCTGAATGGCAGTGTCCACATACTCCAGTTGCTGAGGCCTCCACAGACTCGGACCTTTGCAGACCACCTCTGCCATTAGAAGGCCACCTCTGCCATTAGAAGGTGGAGGCAGAGACGCGGGAGAGGTTCCCAGGGCGGCGGGGCCGGGGACTCTGGAGCTACAGAGGACACCTCAGCCTGTCCTGGGACACCCAGCTCACACAAGGGCTCCCAGGCTAGAGGACCTGGAGGGTTGTGGGGAGAAGGCTGCCATCCACTTCCCACAGCACCCTCTGCCATGACGGTCACTGTGAGGGCGACCGTTGGGAAGCGAGCAGGACCTCTAACGGACACGCTCTGGGCCTCACGCTCAAGATCTCGCGAGAATTGTCGTGAGCTAACGGCTGCGCGCTGCCCCACCCATCTTATTAATATGTCTCCCTGCTTCCGCAGGGCTAGCCCGCGCAGAGTCAATTCATGTCTTTGCGCCCGCTAGTCTCTCTACCTAGAGAGACCTTTCCCCTCTTGCTCCTCAGTTGAAATTCCTTAGTTTCTACTCCAGTATGGCCTCCCCTGGGGTGAAGGAGTGGCGGTGGTTTGTCATCCCCACCTCTGTACTCTCGGGGCACGACCACCTCTATTTCAGTCCAGAGAGGAGGCCATCTCTGCACCGTGATGTGCGGAGGCCGGGGCTGTGTTTGTTTAGTTAATTCTCTCTCCCACAGGGCTTAGTCTTGCGATTTGTGCTCAGGAGTAGTCAGTGAGCAGCAGACGGGAGTTAGGTCAGGGCGAAAACCATTTCCCCCCAGCCTCATTGTAACAATTGGAGGATGAAAATGAAAGCTTGACCCATCCCAACCTGGAGGCCACAGGGATTAGGGTTTCAGGTGAACAGGCAGCTGGGCGGTGTGGGGGCGGGGCGGGGGGAGGGTGAGCACCGGCAGCACCTGATCGTTGCCATCCCTCTTTCGCAACTGCAGGAAACCCTCAGCTTGTGCAGGATCTGGGGAGCTACTACTCAAGAACCTCTGCAGCTTCCAACTGTTTACCTCCTGGGTACCATGGCGATGGGAAATTGGTCGTCATGGCAACCCCATTATTGACAAGACGCTGCAACCGCGGGCAGATAGTGAATGAGGACAGGAAACGCATTAAACAAAGGAGCATCAAAGGCAAGAGGCACAAGCAGTCCTGGCCAAAGTCCCTGCTAAAGTGACTGAGATCTTGCAGAACTAGTCACCCAAAGAGCATCTAGTGACCCTCTCCTGGCATCCAGCACCCATCGAGGGCCCCATTTATGATGGAACAGAGGCGCCACATCCTCTAATTCTCCCACTAGTTCAGTGAAATCCTAACGCGTTTCCCTGACCCAGCAGAATTTCCAAGAATCCGAAACTTGGGTGTACAAGTTTAGAGCTAGTGGCTGTGACTGCGGTCTCCTCCCTTCTCCCGGCCTGACTTTCCAGAGCCCCATCCAGTGATTTCTCACTCAAGATGTCACCCCATGCCTAGACAACGATATCAGTTGTGAATTTTTATGAATGAAAGTGTGTGCGCGCGCATGTGTGTGCAGGTTGGTAGGCTGGAGGGCAGGTCCAGAGAGACTGAACTCTTCCGGAGAGAGCCTGAATCCAGGTCCGGAGCTACTGCCCCAGTGTTGGAGGTACCAGGGAAGGTGCCGACCCCAGCTTCGCGCCTCTGGAAGGTTTAGGGAGGCGCGCCCACTATCACGCTGTCGGCTTTCCAAATGAGGAGTTGTGCCGGCGGAACTCCTCGCAGGCAGCCCTCCACTGCCGCGGAGACCACAGATCCGGGTTTTCTTCGCTGCTGCCCTCGTCATCCTCGGCCACATCCCGCGTCTAACTAGGGATACCCACTTCAGAATGACAACGTTTAAAGTCTCAGCAACAACAACAACAACAACAAAAAGTCTCAGCAACAGCATAAGATAAGGCAGCTGTGAATTGGGGGATTACACGGAGAGGAGAATGAATCGGCTCTTTCTCTGGTCGTCCAGCCCTTGCCCGGGAAGGCTGGAGCGCAATGGGTTGCTGGCCGCGCCTCTCGAGGATTGGGAGTGGGGGCGGCGGCTGAGCTGGGGAGAAAAGCCTGAGGATGAGGACAGAGAGCCATGAATGAGGACAGGAAACGCATTAAACAAAGGAGCATCAAAGGCAAGAGGCACAAGCAGTCCTGGCCAAAGTCCCTGCTAAAGTGACTGAGATCTTGCAGAACTAGTCACCCAAAGAGCATCTAGTGACCCTCTCCTGGCATCCAGCACCCATCGAGGGCCCCATTTATGATGGAACAGAGGCGCCACATCCTCTAATTCTCCCACTAGTTCAGTGAAATCCTAACGCGTTTCCCTGACCCAGCAGAATTTCCAAGAATCCGAAACTTGGGTGTACAAGTTTAGAGCTAGTGGCTGTGACTGCGGTCTCCTCCCTTCTCCCGGCCTGACTTTCCAGAGCCCCATCCAGTGATTTCTCACTCAAGATGTCACCCCATGCCTAGACAACGATATCAGTTGTGAATTTTTATGAATGAAAGTGTGTGCGCGCGCATGTGTGTGCAGGTTGGTAGGCTGGAGGGCAGGTCCAGAGAGACTGAACTCTTCCGGAGAGAGCCTGAATCCAGGTCCGGAGCTACTGCCCCAGTGTTGGAGGTACCAGGGAAGGTGCCGACCCCAGCTTCGCGCCTCTGGAAGGTTTAGGGAGGCGCGCCCACTATCACGCTGTCGGCTTTCCAAATGAGGAGTTGTGCCGGCGGAACTCCTCGCAGGCAGCCCTCCACCGCCGCGGAGACCACAGATCCGGGTTTTCTTCGCTGCTGCCCTCGTCATCCTCGGCCACATCCCGCGTCTAACTAGGGATACCCACTTCAGAATGACAACGTTTAAAGTCTCAGCAACAACAACAACAACAACAAAAAGTCTCAGCAACAGCATAAGATAAGGCAGCTGTGAATTGGGGGATTACACGGAGAGGAGAATGAATCGGCTCTTTCTCTGGTCGTCCAGCCCTTGCCCGGGAAGGCTGGAGCGCAATGGGTTGCTGGCCGCGCCTCTCGAGGATTGGGAGTGGGGGCGGCGGCTGAGCTGGGGAGAAAAGCCTGAGGATGAGGACAGAGAGCCCGTGTGATTATCCGCTTAGGGGATTGCTAAGGATCAGAGGACCCCCGCCCCTTCTTGCTCCTAAACGCTAAGCCCCTAAGGCCGGAGCAGCCAAGATCTCAGATTATGATTTTATCATTAAAAAAAAAAAAAAGTGACTGCTCACTCCCCCAGAGAATTTTAATTCTTTGCCTCTTCCTCAGCCCACCTGTCTCCGGATCCTCAAGGCTGAGTAGGGTCCAGCGGAGGCAGCCCCCGACCCCGTCCGCGTTCCCCTTGGCTCCTGCTCCCTCCAAGTCGTGGTCACAACTTCCTCAGGAGCCGCGCACACTCGGGGAGACTCTGCGCGGGACCCCGATCTGGAGCCCGGGGAAAGAGGCGGCCACGAGCCTCTTCTAGGACGGACGGCCGTGAAGGCGGGGCGTCCGGGTACTCGGGATTTTGGGGAGGTGTCTTGGGGGTGGTGTCAGGTGGACATTCTTTTGCTGAAGGAGCCCAGGTTCTTCTGCCTCCAGCCTCGACGGCTCAGCCTGACTTGGCCCAGCGCGGCGGCTGCGGGACGTGAGTAGAAGGGGGTGCGATAGATTTAGGAAGCAGGGACGGCTTCTAGTCTGATTGCTGCTGGAAGGATGTGTGTGCCCGGGTGGGAGCAGAGCTGGCCCTTGCTTCTGCCCCTTTCTCCTGCCCCTTTCTCCCCTGTTTCAGCACCGGAGGCTGCGGAGAGCGCCGCGCCCACCCGAGGATCCCGCTACCCTAGTCCCTTGAGCGCATATCTTTAATCCATTTTCATACTGGAGTCTGCGTCCCCCGCGCACCTCCCAGCGCCCCAAGAATCACCAGCTCAAGAGCCCCTAAATTCCTTACCCCACCAAAGTTTGAGCTCGCCGCGGCGCGCCTGTGCCTGGCGGAGCGTCTCTTCTTCGCTCTGGACAGCAGCTCCCGCCTTGCTCGCTCCCACACTCTCCAGCCCCAGGACCCTCCTCCGCTCGCAGCGGAAGGAGCCGGTTGCCTCCCTCTCTCTGCAAAAGTCAGGTGAGGCTCCGCAGCCTCAAAGGCGGTCCCGGAAGAGGCCGAAGCCGCTCGATCGTATCGCGGTGCCCTCTGAGGCAAGAGGGGCGAGCCAGGAGCAAGCAAGCAGCAAGATCCGTCTGTCAAATCTGGACTCGCTCCTAACCGCGAATAGCCTTCTTGGACTCTTTCCTGGGATTTTGTTTTTTGTTTTAAAACTAGTAGCGTAATTCACACTGCATGAGGACACAACAGAGATCTGGGAGTTTGAAGTTTAAAGGTGGGAATATATATCCCATTAAACTCATTTACAATCTTAGGGGAGAGAGTTTTAGAAACAAATGTCTCTTGGGGATATGGTGTATTCTCTTTGCAGAGTTTTGATTTCCTTCTATCACACCAGACAACAGATTCCCTGAACCAAAAATTAAAACCCACCAGTCCAGCTGGTATTCATTGCCCACTATAGAGGCCAAAGGTGCTTAAACTCTTTTTGAAGAAAAAAACTTTTAGCAAAGCCTCCACATTTCTGCAAACTCACTTTCTCCACAGAAGGCATATATCTGACCCACACTTCAAGGATGAAGACCTAATCTCACCTCCCATTCACTCTCCAGTTCTGGATGAACCGGTCCCAGGGGGAGTCCAGCTTTCTTGTCTGGGACAAGAAGCCTCTGGGTTCCAGGTTCCATAAATTAACACCCTTACAGGAAGAAACTCTGAAGGAGCAGATTCCCCTCAGGAGCCTGAAAATCAGAGGCTTCTCTGAGGACTTGAAGTACATGGCATTTCCTGAACATTCCTATCAAACTATCTATTCATGGAGCAAACTCTTCAGAGGACAAGCTTCCAAGTTCATGCAGATTTGAAGGGAGAGATGAAGTGTATCCTATTCAATGGAGAAGTAACGAATTAGACATATGTACACATTTATCTTACGGAAGGGACACAAAGCCTAGAAAGAAACTCCCTTGAAAAGTCAGGCTAAATTGTTCAGATTCAAAGGATTCTGATTATAGGAAAACAAATGAATGGAAATGGTGAATCAATAAAACAAAGTTGAAGCAACAGAAGATGGAGAAGAGAGTGGGCTCCTGGAAGAAACCTGAATTTACCACAAGAGAAAAAAACAATTCATGAGACCATGGTCTCCTTAGCCCACAGAGTCTCCAACATACATCATTTACAGCAATTTTTTTTTTCACAGTCCTTATTATTGAGAAATGTTGCATTTCTTCTAATCCCTGTGATTTACCATACATGTAAGAGCTGTTTCCTGTTGGCTTGTCCTCAAGGAAGACAGGAAGCAGGTGGTTATCCTCTGTCACCCAAAAATATTTTAGAGCTTTTAGAAAAAAGAAAAAAAATATTTTAGAGCTTTTAAAGAAACTTGAATTCTGATTTTGGAGAAAGCAGTAGTAGTAGCTATCAGGAGACAAATTTTGAGGCATAATATGAAAAATACATGTGAACTTTGTTTTTGAAATGCAGACATTTCTAAGATCTGAAGAGGAAAACAAGATCTTACAAAATTGATCATAAGCTGGAGAAGTGCACTGAATCTGATGAAATAAAGTAGACCATCTACTATAGGAATGAGCACATAATTGGGCTATAGGGCATTATATGGGTGTTGATAATTTTTACTGAAGAACTTTTGGCACCTGAAAGATGGAAACAGATGAACTGAGACTGGGAATGAGTGGAAAGAGCCCACAGAAGATGTATCTGTGAATTTGCCTGGAAAGACATCTAGGAGCAAGATCTTTGGCTGCCGGGATAGAGGGTTCAGATTTGGCCCAAGACACACCGAGTGGGGTGGCCTCTGGGGATCTGTCCTATTGCTTAAGCTTCATCTGAGGTACAAGATGGTGTGTATGGATGGCAT